CTTTGAAGGCTACAACAAGTGAAAGATTAACAACGAATGTGTGGTTAGCGGATATCTTTGAAATTTAAGATTCAAGTGAGAGGAAAAAAAAACTTAAATGCAGTAAAGCTTGTTAACAATTCATGTTGAAGATGGAACGAAGAGCTGCTCAAATCTGAGTTCTCTAAGAGGAGAAGAACATCATTCCCATGAGTTGGAGATGTACGAAGTTGGATCCTAAAAACATGGAACCGTTCAACTTCGCTAGTTACTTCTACAATGGCCAGTTTGGTTTCACCGACTGATATGCACTTGTTTTCCACTACTAAGATTTATAAATGTTTCTTTCAGTGGCCGGTGACACGACTTGATTATCCTCACAGCGTGATATGATTGCCACCACAGCACGTGAACAATGTATTCCATAAGAAAAAGAACCTTTCCCTGAATTAAAGATGTCTGATCGTTCCGCTGATATAACCCCATATTTTACTTCATCTGAACGTAGAATGTTTAAGAGTATATGTTGCATACAACAGAAAACAAAGATGATGAAATCCTTTGATACAATTTCAGTGAGAATGTAATATTGTTTTCTTTTATTTCCAGGTTTGATTATTTCTCGTGTCCTACATTTCTTAAACACTGTATTCCAAAGAAAAGGATGCACCCACACAGATGAAGGACATGAATTCATCAGTTTTAATTTAAACTAAATGCTCTTCAATTGATTCTCAAACTGCTTGTGTTTACGAGACAAACCACGACTGCATGGCATGCGTTGTTGACTCCTAGCTTTTCATATTTCAAGGTTTGTTCTTGGCAAGGTTTTTCAGCTTTTCGTTTGCAGCCACAAGTTCAGCAGCTATTCCTGGTTCATTGGCTGAATGTCCAGCATCTGGTACAACCTGTGACCACACCAATACAGTATTTTTGTACATTACCTTATCAACAAGCGCTGTAAAACACAAAAAAGTCTCTAAGGTAGTGTAATTGCATGCAAATGCAGACTTGCAACAAATTCTGAAAGCGTCAAATATCAATGAGATTATATCCTTCAACAAAAGGCTTTGATTTATTCCGGCAATCCAAATGTAAAACATCATCTTCAAGAGACACTTTAGTTCTTACCTTTAAATCTGCCTCCGGAAATGCTCTGTGGAGATCCCAGGCTGACATCATGGGACAGCAAACATCATATCTTCCCTGTTCAAATGGTTCAAGGGATATCAGACAAGTTGGTCTTAATTCAGGTCAAATGTCGCACACTGGAAAAATTTAAGCGTAAGAGGACATCGGGCTTCTTTTGGTACTACCATGAAGCAGTTGGAGTCCACTGCTTCCAAGTATCAAACCGACTAAGTGAAGCAAACAGAACCTCAAGAAGAGTATCAAAGTAAACAGGGCTGAAAACTTGAAATTCATCGGTTTGTAGCACTTTGAGTTAAAAAGCATCTTCTGAACAAGCAGAAGGATCGTCTACTTGTCTGGAATGCTTGGATATTAAAAGTTACATACCTGTACAATTGTAGTGTTAATATGCCTTATTTTGTCAACATTGTCCAACAAGAACGAATCCGAAGGAAAAAATCCTTGATTCACAAAGTAATGGTTCTCAATCCTTGCGAAAGCCTAAACACAACAACGAAGAGACATGCATCAAATTTTCATTAAAACTATACAATCTTGTTTAGTGTATTCCATGATTTCCAGCTCTATGCCAAACTGTAGGTCTTCTAGGGTATACGACTTACCAGTGAAAATTGATCATCATCCCCTCTCTTAATGTTTTCTTCATTTGGTAGAAGATGGGCAGTCATCATTTCCCATTTGGTCCATGCTCTAGCAGCTGCATACTAAGAAGTTAACCCAAGAGTTAACGAAGAAAATAATTAGTAATTTTTCACATAAAAAACACTGCACTAACAATTTGTAGCTTTAATAAAAAAAAAAAAAAGGCTACATGAAGGAAAGCAATGTATCCGAAACAAGATGACTCCTCTTACTTGTATTTCCAAATCATCAGAATGCAGTCTCTTGTGGTAAGCAGTGACAAAACTCTCTCTCTCGTTCTCCGGAATATGATCCCTAAACGGTTCCCAAGCTACATATTTTGAACAAATGAATAACTATTCAGCGATTAATTTTGCATATTTAATCAGCATCCGAAAGAGAAACATAAAAGAAATAGTGTCAAAACAATGCACATAAAAGATGAGTTCAATCAGTAGTTCCTAATTAGTTCAAAATTCATTAAAATGTTCCAAACCAAACAGCTTTCCATGGATTTTGAAATTAAAATATCATGGAAATATTAACAACTTATCTTACAACATTAGAACGACTATCCTTAACAAATAGACCAGCAAATAATACGTATGGAACATACCATCAGGGTAAATAGCAGCAGCAGCACCTTCGTAGAACCAATCAATCTCCTTCTTCCGCAAAAGGAATATCCCTCTAAGGACCATCCCAGTAACCTTAAAATAAAGGCGGGAGACAATCAATTCAAGCAAGGAAGTAATTAGTGGAACTTCAGGTGACCTGATTGTATGTATCAAGAGTTTTAGTCAACAAAATTTCGCACCTTCTCGGGATGTGATTCACTGTAAGCAAGGGCAAGTGTGCTTCCCCATGAGCCGCCAAAGACCTAAATAAGCAGAAAGCAATGAAAAACAGTACATTTAACTGGCCTACAACTGCCAACCAAACCTCATATTGGTTAAGCAATCAAAAACTAGTATATTAGTCAGGGATTTAAATTTCGGCTGTGACAGCATTCTCAGTTGCTTTTATTGTGATTGCGGACATAAGTCACTGCTATATAGTGGCCGCTACTTTGATAGCAGACCACTATTTAAATCCCAGATATCAGTACCTGCCATTCTTGAATTTGCAAGTGTTCTCTCAGCTTTTCAATGTCATCAATTAGATCCCATGTAGTATTCTCTTCCAAGCAAGCATGGGGAGTACTCTTTCCTGCACCACGCTGCAGCACACCATGTATATCTTATAATTAGAGAATTAGAGGTTAAAATAAGAAACTTTTTTATGAGTTTAACATGAAGGAACAAAAAGCCACCTGATCAAATAAAACGATCCTATAAAATTCAGGATCAAAGAACCTTCGGTTACTTGGGGATGTTCCTCCACCAGGTCCACCATGAAGAAACACAACTGGCTGCAAAATATGAAAATAATGGTACACAAAAACTAAGGTAAAAAAAACATCCCATTAGAATTCCTAATTGATGGATACAATCAATGGATACTCACATAGCCATCTGGGTTTCCTGATTGCTCCCAGTAAATTGTGTGAACATCAGAAACCTTGAGAAAACCTGTGCCATAAGGCTCTATTGCTGGATAAAGATTCCTGTTATGTTCTTGAATTTCTCTCCCTGACTCCATTATATATCACTTAACTGCGTCTCAGTCTTATATCCGACCCTTTGTTGCCTCAAAGATAGCTTATTTTTCCCTGCAGAGAGTGAACACAGACGAATTTCAACAAACCCAAATCCAGAAACGAATAAATAGAAAAAAAAGAGAAATCGCATATTTTCAGTAAAAAAAAAGTAGATAAAGAGCAACAAGGAAGGAACCTGGGAAAGTGAAATTTTTGGAAACCGAAGGGAAGGGTCGAGAGAAGGGAACGGAAGAAGGAAAAGTGGGCAGTGAAGAGGGAGTGTTTGTTTTTGAGGCAAATTTAAGCCCTAATCTCATTCTTACTTTTCGGGTTGGTCAAAAACACATAGGAAGAAAGAAGACGATTAGGCCAACAGATAAGCATCGGATCGGGCATTGGAATTAGATTCCTAGGCGAATAAAACTTACACGTTTGGAATATTTGGTGGTTGTCTTTTAGTATTTGATTTTTATAAATATCTAAATATTAATCATTCGTTGTACTAATTTAATTATTGGCTTACGGTAATATTATCCCTTCCATTATATACATTATGTTCAAATAAAAATATATAAATTATTATTTTAAAGAAAAAATAGTGAGAATATAATGATGAGTAAACTACACGTTTAATACTCAATTTTATTTTTATTCCATTTTGATCACTCAATTATTATTGTTTTCAAAATCAGTACAACGTTACGATTTTGGCTACCCATCATTAAAAAGTTAGTAGAACTGTTGACTTAATATTTTTTTATAAAAAAATCAATGATGATGTTACATTATAGGGACGAAGCATATCTAGGGGCTACTCCCTTATTTTTTATAATTTAAAAATATACATAGGTAAATATTAAATTAGTCCTTCAAATTTTAGTTTATTTTAAATTTCCCCTTTATTGTCTATGATTAATTATATTTTGTCCCTCATTTTTATGGTTAATTATGATTTGCTCCCTTAAGTTGGCATCTTGACTCCGTCTATACCTTAAGATAACATGTCAACATCATCCTTACTTTTTTAATGGTGAGTGAGCAAAATGAAATCAAAATATAACATTATGCATAATTTTGAAACAAAATATAGTTAGGTGAACAAAATGGAACAAAAATGATAGTTGGGTAGATTACTCTATGGTATAATTCACTCAAAGTAAAGGGAAAATTCAATATTTAGTATCTAAACTCTCACTTTTTTCATTTTGGTATCCAAACTTTATTTTTTTTTTTCAAAATCTTACCCAGTGTTTGGTTTAGGTTTCATTTTAGTATCGTCGTTAAAAACTTAACGGTGATGTTGACGTGTCACACCATAAGGTAATGACATGTCATCACTGGAAAAAATTAAAAAAAATCACTTCAACAGATCTGTTAATTTTTTAATGGAAGGTGACCAAAAGGAAACTAAAATGAAACATTAGGTATAATATTAAAAAAGTAATAGTTGAATAACCAAATGGAACAAAAGTGATAGTTGAAGTTTAGCCAATGAAATAAGGGGGTATATTCTAACAACTTTACCTAACAGAAGTAACTGCTTAGCTAATTGTGACGATAAGCAAAGCACAAACCACCGCCAACAAAAACATTTAAAGCTGCGTCCGACGACAATGAAGGAAGAAATTCCCAAACCCTAAAATCCGCAACAACAACAAAAAAAACCCCAGAAATCCCTCCTTATGAAATGGAATGGTGCCTGAAGATTATTAGTTATATATCCAGTGATGGGTGGAAATGCAAAGATCAATTGCAGAATCATGTCATACCTGAGCTGCAGGACGGTGAAGAACAAAACGATAATTGTTGGTCTAAAATCCGATAATTGCAGCAGAGAAATGCTGCTCCAGTTACTCATCCTGCTTGTCAAATCTGGGGACAATGTGTTAGCAATTCATGTCCAGGAAATGAATGATGCTTTTGATCCCAACACTTTCCACATCCATGAAGATATCTGCAAATCCAAACAGGTATGAATCAAGAGAAATGGATTAGAAAACTGGGATTGATTTATATCTGATTGATGATTTGCTTATGCGGCATGTTTTTCACAATTCAGGTCGATTTTCTTGTTAAAATTTGTACTGGGAACTCGTATATATCGGTTTTATCTCATCAAGTTCGGGAAAATTATGCTGCAATCCTAGCAATTGGGTGCAACATTCCAGGGTAATGATAAATGAAGCTGATAAATGTGATTAATGTTTAAGGTTTATGTAATTATGTGTCTGATATTTTGATGATTGTGTTTTCTGTAGGCCGAATGATTCGTCTGTAAGCGCTTGTCTGAAAAGTTTGCCTCCCACATGCACTCTTCTGGTGATGGATGATGCTGGAAGAATCCTAATCCAAAGGCAGCGAACATCCCAGCAAGGTTCTACAGGTGTACCTATTGAATCTTGTTTATCATCTTCCCAGATAAACTCTGTAGTTGATCAATCGACGAGCTCTCGTCTGCTAAAAAAGTCCTTGACAACACCATCGTCATCGACATCACCATCAATGTGTCAATTTGACAGTGATGGGCATTACGTTCTCAAGAAGACGTTTCCTGAACATCAGTTTAAGAAGTCATTCACTATGCCATCTTCTTCTGCATCATCATCGTCGACATGGCAAACTGGTGGTGGAGGCCAGCGGAATCCGAAGAATGTGACTGCAACGAGGAGGTTTCACAGGATGGCATTCCAAGAAACAGTGCAACCCTGCAGGCGGTTTAGACTGGAAGAGCTCAGCATTGCCACCGATAATTTCAGCCCCAGTATGGTGATTGGAAAGGGAGGAAATGCTACGGTATATCGAGCTAACCTCGAGGATGGTCAAGCTGCAGCTGTGAAAGTCCTCAAAACCATGACTTGGTCCACAAAGGATCTTCTTCGAGAAGTGGACACACTATCCGGCATAGAGCATGAGAACATAGTTGAGATGATTGGATACTGTGATAGCAAAGAATTGCATGCAATAGTTTATAACCTTCTCAATGGAAGCTTGAAACAATGTTTACAACAACTCAAGTGGGCCGAGAGGATGACTATCGCAATCGGTGTCGCCAAGGCTCTCGAATACCTTCACCATTGTTGTGAACCTCCCATCATTCACAGAAATGTGAAACCATCTAAAATACTTCTCTCTGATAATTGCCAACCTCAAGTAAGTGCTGCACCAATGTTCAAATGTCTTTGATGCTTACTAATTCAACTTAGGCTCATAACGTAGCAACATAACTTTCTGCACTTTCTAATTGTGCCGGATTTCTTTCGCAGCTCTCGGGTTTCAGAGCAGCAGTAGTGCATAACCATTCTTATCAAGTCCAAGCAAACACAAAGCCAGTCGACATAGTTAGGACATTCGGATACTTGGCACCGGAGTACATGGTGTGTGGAAAGATTGATGAAAAGATTGATGTTTATTCCTATGGGGTTGTGCTGCTGGAACTTATTACAGGGAAAGAAGCTATTCAAAGCACTCACAAAAACCTTGAAAGCTTAGTGCTTTGGGTAATTATATTGACAATGTTAAACCCAATCAAGTTTTTATATCCCAAAGCTTTAAGTTTTTTTTTTCTTTTCGGTTCAACTATCTTGCAGGCAAGATCTTTATTCCGGTTTGGCCTATGCGAGCGCTTAGTTGATCCTTGCTTGGACAAAGATTACAAGAAAGAAGAGATGGAAGTAATGATGTTTATAGCACGCCTCTGCCTTATGCATTCGTCTTCTCAAAGGCCGACAATGAAAACCGTAATCTTCCTTCTTTCGTCATTTAAATAACTCGCTTTTCGTCACTTCTACAGCACCATGTAGTGTGCTTTGAGTTCTTCCATGATCAATTAATGAGGATCATGTTCGTTGGTTTGTTTGGACAGATACTAAGGTTGTTTGAGGACTCAGAGTATTGGTTAGAGATGCAAAGGGAGAAAGATCAACTCCTAAATGGGTTTGGTTCCATAGGTGAAAAAGATTTGTTGAGACAATATGAGTTATCAAGTGCTGGAACCAGGGGATGGGATGATACCTAGATAAGTTGTATAAGTTTTCGATTTTTATTTTTTCCTCAGAACAAAACTGGATTTGCTCATGCAAAATAGATAACCATCCAACCAGATTTGATCTCTTCTCACCTATTCACCATGCAAATCTATATCAACTATATGCCAGCATGAGCAAATTTTCTCAAGTAGTGTTTATGCTATGTAGCAATGCAGAATCTATTATATTTCTTACATCTTTTGTTTGTTAGAACATGCTTCTTATATCTAGCAGGAATGGATCGAGGGGAGCGGATGGAGGCAGATGTCCTCCTGAAAATTTCAAAGTATCATATATTTTAGATATTTTCTTTGTATTATATATTAATAATATGTTTTTACCCCTAAAATTTTATAAACTTGTCAACCTAAATTTTTTGAAGCCCTAATATAACATCTTGCGTTTGTCCCTGTATCTATGCATTCAAGTTAGAAATTCCTGATTATAAGATTTGATTGTCAACTGAACATTCATATTTTCCGGATCAGAATCAATATTTTTTGGTAAACGAGATTAGAACAATGCTTGAGCATACAAGTAAATCATTCTCTTATTGTTCTGGTAAAAGCAGATTAGCTGTGAGAGTACAAAAGCCTTGTGCATTCAATGTGCCGTTACCACAGCATGCAGTTTTCACATGTGTAAAATCTGGAAAAGAAAATGAAAGTGGATGATCATTAGATCATATTTACAACCCATATATTAATACCATCATTCGACTGAAGAATGCTTAGTGAAAATTTGAGGTTTATTGATGACATTCATTGTCATATCAACTTCATTTCCAAGAGAATACCTTATGTTCTTCTATTCAGAACTGAGGTTCCTCGAAAGGGGTCCATTGCTCAAAAGAAAGCCCTTGCCTGGTTGTTCAACTTTATTGTTCATTTTACTAATGGTGTGCACCTTGAAATTTTATTTATATTTACTCATACGAAATTTTTCTAGTATTAATATGTGTCCACATTGAAAAATATTTCCAAATCCGATAATGAATCAACTCCTCCAAACATTCATGGTTAGCTTGAGAAAATCTTTTGAGATGGGCAATACCCGACTGGTGAAACACTTGATGTGCCAAATTTCCATTCCCCAAGACTAATTAGATTCTGAATATAGGAGTACTTTAGTTCAAATTGACAAAAATAAAATCCTTGTTAGGCATGAAGTAGTTGTTCATCTAAGCTATGTTACTCGGATTTCGGGTGAGTGTCAAATAAAGTATGATTCTTATATATGTTATAATGTGAGAACACAGCATTAAATCAAATTTTTTGTTTTGCAACATACAGGAAAAGGGAATTAAGGAGAAAAGAATTTACTGAATTCCCTCATCTGCCAATCAACAATCTTTATATAAGCTTCTTGTTTTGGAAGAAACTCTTCAAGTACCAGACTTGCAGGCTTGAAACAAGGATGCAGATACCCAGAGACATGAAACTAAACCACGCGACTTTAGCGTTTGTGGTCTCACTCGTACTCACCATTTCTGCTTCTCTGTTATCCATTAAGGATTATATCTGATCAACTAAGGATGCTTTAAACTGCACAGTCTCAACAGTAACATTACCAAATACCTGCTTTTCAGATACAGTAAATTCTCATGAATTGCCTCCACCGCTCCTTCCAGTTTCGTCAGCTCCAGCTCAACCCCCTTTTATGTAAATAGCCAACGATGAAACACACACATACGTCTACAGAAAAAACACTATTGTAACATGCACAAATGGTCCCGATTATAAGATGCGGTTTTGTTAACTCTTTTAACTACTAAAAATTATAAAACGATCCCTTAATTATAAGACGTTACTTTGTTAAGTTTCAAAACTATTGAAAGTTATAAAATGATCACTCGACTATATGTTCCAAACTCATAATTTTCCGTTAAAAATTGGCAGTTGACTGAGTTTGGCGTTAACTTGTTGACAGATATGATAAAATCTTATCTCATAACTGTTTGATTTGTAGTTTATGGATCAACTATTCCTTTGCATTATATCATAAAGCAGTGCTTGAAACATTATGTTGTCGAGCCAATGCTTGTAAGCAATGGAGGTGTCAGTAGCTTTAATAATTTTATCATATCTCAATCAGCATGTTAACATCCAGTTCAGATAACTATTAATTTTTTAATGGAAAAGAATGAGTTTGGAACATATGAATAGTTGGATGACCATTTTGTAACTTTTAATAGTTAAAGGACTCAAGAAATCAACATCTTATAATTAAGTGACCGTTTTATATATTTTAATAGTCAGTGGACTCAACAAAATATTACACCGCAATCGAGAGACCATCTGTATACCTTATAAAAAAAAGAGAATAAGAAAAAATAAGAATTTGAAAACAAGCATGAGAGAAGTTTCATCTCTACGTAAATATGTTTATACTCATCAAGATTCAAGAATTCCGGTTCATATCATTTGCCAAACCAATAATAAAATTAGGTAAATTACATGTTAAGTACCTAGTTTATCAGTTTTAATACGTTTTAGTATATAAACTTTCAATTTTTTAAAAATTATACTTAATTTTTAGTTTTTGTTTATTTTAATACCTTGCCATTAAAAACTTAACACGTTTAGTACATAAACTATCAGTTTTGATCCGTTTTAATACCTAATTTAAAAAAAATTCAAAACTTAACGTTGTGTTTTTAAAGGGCACTAAAATGAAGTAAAAACTAACTTTTAGGTATAATTTTGAAAAAATTAAAAGTTTAGATACTAAAACAGACCAAAATTGATAGTTAAAGTATTAAATGCGTATTTTACCCAATAAAATTTGTAAACTTAGAACCTAAACTATCTCATTTCCTTTTCTATAGAATTTGTTGCTCACAAAAACAGAGGCTTGACAATGAAACACCACCACACAAGTTTGAGCATCTCAAAAAAAATATTTTGAACAATAATTTTATATGCACTGATGGGAGCAGGACCAGCCATGGCCATGGTTCACAAATAAAGGTGAATGATGGAAATTTAGAAAAGGAAGTTCCCACCTGAAGTTTTTCTTTTCTGGCAACTGCCTCCCAGTCTTTAGTTGCAATTCCAGTTTTCCAGTCAATATTGATAACAACTTTACCACTTCCGGCAGTACCGTTATCGGACCAGAAACATGCTAGGTAATTGCCGGACTCCTCTGTTGTGAACGCAAATCGCCCGTAAGTCACAATCTTCATCACATTCTCCCTGTGATGAAGATTGTTTCCAAACGGAGATGTCACCTACACAGTTACAAACATTGAGTTTCAAATTCACCTTAATGCCGGACAAGGCCTCATAATGGGCAGGGATGGACCAACAGGTTCTAAAAATTTCAAATTCTTGTATACTATAAATATTTTCTCTTGAAAATTTGTTTTCAACCCTTTTAAAATTATATAAATTCACCCCTAATATGAAATCCGACTTTCGTCCATGATCATCGGATCTTACAATTGAATAATGTAATCAGGGACGATGAATGAAAAATTTTAAATTTTCATGTAATTTAAATATTTTCATTGTATTTTTCTGTTGTTAATCTGTTTTGGTCTCCTCAGCAATGTAATGCTATATCTCTGTTTTCCCATAATTCTACATTTTTATCGAAAGTAAGCAATTTCAAGCATAAGCAACAATGAAATCTGATTCCGAAACAAGAACAAAAATTCAAGCATATGCATAAGTAATTTCGATCGAAAATTACATGGAAGTTTAAAGTTAGTTTCAGTTTGTCTAAATTATCTACTAATCAAAACTGAAAAGAAAGTAACAAACCCTAATAAACATTTCTTAACCAGATCAAAAGGGGGAAATAAGGAAGGAAAAAGTAAAGGCGAAAGCGGTATTAAACCTTGACGGCAATGGGAGCAGATTGACCTTCTCCCATGGAAACCACTACATAGTCTGCCAAAACAACGACATTGTTGTGGATTTCCTCGGAGACGTAGTTAGTACCGGTTTTGGGAAGATTCAACCAAATGGCGTCACACACAGGAGCACTACTCAAAGCGCACAGTAATAATATGACGAACAACGATGGGAATATCATTGCCTTGGGCACGTTCGAATCCTTTATCATTTCCAACACAAAACGAATTATCTTTTTTCTTTCTAGAATTTGAGGTGGTTTCTTTTGGGTGAGATCGGAAAATTTTCGATCGAAGGTCGAGCACCAACGAGGCAACGGCCACCTCCGCTTCGGTTTCCTTCTACTTCGTTAATGTTCTTTAATATTTATAGTTTATAGTTTATTCATTCAAGGGTAAATTACTTATTTTTGCCATCCATGATCCATCTATGACTTTGTTTTTATTTGGTCATCCAACTATTAATTTTTTCAAAATCATATTTAATATTAGGTTTAATACACTTTTAGTACCTAAATTATACCTCAAAATACGATTAGTGCCTAAAGAATTTTTTTGCTAATAATAGGTGTCTAACGTTTCCAATGTTACAGTTTTAGGTGCTTTGATTGTCAGTGGCTGATCTGGAAATATATTTTAGAGTGGGCACACACATTAATTATTGAAATTTTTCGTTTGGGGTGGACGCTTATAATAAAACAAAACGCTAATACAAAGAAATATGGATTTTAGGATGGGCACATGCCCACCCCGGACATGCTTTATATTTGCCAGTGTGGATCGTAATGGTCGTTAAATTTGATTTTATTTGACACGTGTCCACATATAAAATTTAAAAAAACTTAATATTATAATTAAAAAAAGTCAAACCCCCAATTTTACATCTTCACCCATCGATTGTCCATCGTTGGTCCATGGCTATCACCGCTGACATCATCAGAACTGTCTTGTCGCCACAACAAGATCCAGTCCCCCACCCATCGTGAAACTATGTCGATCATCGTGAAAAATACCATGAAGGTCATCGAATTTCTAGGTTTTACATTATTTTTTTCCGGTGATTTCGACGACTACAGTCGTCCGTATGTTACACGATTGCACCCGTTGAGTTCCTCGTCATACTCCGAACAAAACGCGACTGGCGATGACTCTTCGTCGTGGTAGATAAGAAGGAGAGGGACAACAATAGGAGTTCGATTTTTTTAAATTTTTTTTCTTTTTTATTATTATAAAACTAAAAAAATTTAAAAATATATTATAGGTAGCTAAAAATTTTAAAAATATAACAGTAGACACCAAAAAGTATAACAGAGAAAATGTTAGGTACCTATTGTTAGCAAAAGATTCTTTAGGCACCAAATCATATTTTGAGTTATAATTTAGGCATTAAAAGGTGTATTAAGCCTTATATTATATTTTGGTTATGTTTTAGTAATCTTTGGTTTGGTTAAGAAATTAACATTGATATTGACTATCACGGTAAGATAAAGTCATGTAAACATCAAAAAATAATAAAATGATAAATTACAAGTTTAATACCCAACTATCATTTTTACTCTGTTTTAGTCACCCGATTAATTTTGTTTTAAAATCATATCTAACGTTATGTTTTAGTTTCATATTGTTCACCCAACGTTAAAAAATTAACAGTGATGCTGACGTGTCACTAGAAGGTAATGCCACTTCTAGTTGGCAATTGAAGTTCCTTGGCACTGACTAGGATATCTAACAATACGATTGTCCTATGCTAAGGTAAACTCAGGTGTCTTAGTTGTTTCCCGAACATCAAACAATGCTAGTTTTATGTCATCCAAAATGTTTCCATTTCTAGTTGTTCTGAGTTTAATTGTTGTTCTCACTTGTAGTTTTATTTCGTAACATTTTGATGTTATTGGGCCCCTAAATTCTAACCCTTTAACCATTTAGATTATTTATCCAAAATTATACGCTGATAACCCTTCGATATCGTTACTGGCCCCTGAGTATCGATACCAGCCCTTTGGTATTAATATTGAAAAGGTTATTATACGCTGAAAAGGGAGGGTAGTATCGATACTTCTAGACCGAGTATCAATACTTATATACTATGGTATTGATACTGTCACGAGTATCTATACTAAAATTTTCTTCGATGTTTTGAAAAATACCTCAGTATTTATACACCTACTGGAGTATCGATACACTACCCCCAGTTTTGATACTCCCATGAGTATCGATACCATAAATGGCTACTGGAATCTGCTAAGTGAAATCAATATTGATACCCTCCTACGAGTATCAATACCCAATGTACGAGTATAGATGCCTCTAGCCTAAAATCCATTTGTTTTAACTATCTAAGGAACAATATTGGTATTGTTCTTCTAATACAGATACCCAAACCGAGAAATGTCCTATTTTGTGCACAAAAATGACTCTCTAACTCACTCAACAGTTCTGCTAAGGTTCCCAAGCATTATTAAAGCTTTATGTATGGTAGTAGGGGTCATAATATGTCCATAAACATGCTGAAAAACATCAAATGTTGAATTCTACCATGAACATGCCTAATAAACACCCCCAACCCGTACTCGACTTGGATACGGATCCGAGGTGTCACAATGACTTTTCAAACCATTAATTATTAAAAAGTAGTTAAAAATTAAACATTTATTTGTTTAAATGGTGAAACCTATAATTAAAAGGAAATATGGCAAATTCAAACTCAAATTGAAAATAAAACTTGCTAATTTACATAAATACAATAAAGTGTGTTTACAAAAACTGATCAGAGCATATGCGATATAAACATTTATTTACATGCCAAAAAAATTAATATAACAACAAAACATACAACTTAAATCGTTTCTGATATGATCTTCAGTAGAGATATGCTGTTTTGACTTATCCTAGCTCTTTTCTTCAGTTTTCTTTGAACCTATGTGTGAAAACACTCACACGCTAAGTCTTTGACTGAGTGAGGCAATAAAGAGCATAATAAAATAGTAAAACATTTAATCTTATACTTAACTTTTATAAAACATCATAGAATAAAGAAACCATAATACATTTCACAAAAAAAAAACATATAACATCATGCACTATTCATTCATGTTATTTCTTTTAATAGCCCATGGTACATTACTGAGAACTCAAGGTATGTGAGTGCATTGAGGTTGTGCACTGGGTTGCAGTCGAAACTACCACATAGAATTGCACCGAAGTGTTGCGTAGAATATGCACTGAAGTACCACGTATAAATGTCCTGAAGGACCACATAAATATGTCCCGAAGGACCGCGTAGAAATGTACCGAAGGACCACATAGAACCCTCAACTCTTGGCATAGAAATTATACCTTTATCTCTCATATCACATACTTTTGGGCTTTACCATTTATACAGTTCACATAGCTTATGTCACATATTCATATCATCACATAGATCAATGTTTACATAGTATGGAATATAAACAGTACATGTTCACTTCGTAACAAAATCAAAACTATGCTTACATTCATATAAACATGTATTCATAGCATTTAATAAACTTTCAAAACATTGTTTAAACCAAAACATTGGAAATAGACTCATTGCAAGTCTTCTTTTCATAAAACAATATATATAGTAGTATGCACTCACCTTGGCCTCACTTAGTCAAAGCAAAACCCTTATCACTCTTGGTAGATCTTATAACGTTGAATCGTATGAAACTTGCCTTCATTCAATATCTACAAAATAATACGATCGAGATGAATATCGGAGTTTGCATTACTATTAATCAATCCTCAATAACTTAAGTTATACGAAACACTTAATTCACAATTTCAATATGAATAGTATCAGTATCCTAGGCCCAGTACCGATACTTCCTCACTATGGTATCGATAATATCTTTCAGTATCGATACCCAATCTACATTCTAGAATTCGAATTACAAAAAAAGGTACCTGTCGAAACGATTTTTCCTTAAAGGTGAAAAAGGTGAGATTTTGAAAACCACATTAATTCTTAATTGTCCCTTTTTAATTTAAAAACAAATGCGATTTAAAAAACCTCTCGTTTCGAAAAATTTTGAATTTCCTTTACGATCGAAAAATACGGTTCGAAGAGTCGCCACCAATCTTTGATTAGGGTGTGATTGGGCACCCAAAAATTCTTTGTCATTTTAAATAAAAATTAATTTTAATTAAAACAACAAATTGAGGTCTGCGTGATCAAAATCTGAGTTCGGGAGTCGATTACGTTTGGGGAAGGATTAGCACCTCCACAACGCCCTAAATCGGTACCTAATCGATTAATTAACGTATTTGCAATGAACTTTACAAATTCGAATTTATTTTGATTTTTGAACTCATAAAACAAAGATATAAATTTAAAAACATTCAAAAGCACTCAAACAAATTAAATTAAAATTACCAAGTCATTTTAGAAAGATAAAGAATGTTCGATTATTTACAAATATCGAGACCAGATCTTAAAGATATAACAACATTTTCTCGATATATTTAAATAAACGAACATTTCTTTTTCTCTCTAAAATGACTTGGTAATTTTAATTTAATTTGTTTGAGTGCTTTTGAATGTTTTTAAATTTATATCTTTGTTTTATGAGATCAAAAATCAAAATAAATTCGAATTTGTAAAGTTCATTGCAAATACGTTAATTAATCGATTAGGTACCGATTTAGGGCGTTGTGGGGTGCTAATCCTTCCCCAAACGTAATCGACTCCCGAACTCAGATTTTGATCACGCAGACCTCAATTTGTTGTTTTAATTAAAATTAATTTTTATTTAAAATGACAAAGAATTTTTGGGTGCCCAATCACACCCTAATCAAAGATTGGTGGCGACTCTTCGAACCATATTTTTCGATCGTAAAGGAAATTCAAAATTTTTCGAAACGAGAGGTTTTTTAAATCGCATTTGTTTTTAAATTAAAAAGGGACAATTAAGAATTAATGTGGTTTTCAAAATCTCACCTTTTTCACCTTTAAGGAAAAATCGTTTCGACAGCTTGGCGACTCCACTGGGGACTTTTTTTTAGAGAGTCAAGCCGATAGTCGATTAATTAATTGTCTTTGCAATTGAAAATTACAAATTCGTTTTAATTTGATTTTTGATCCCTTGTTTGGTTTTTAATAAGTTTTGTTTGTATTTTGATTTCTTTAATTTAATTTGATTGACAATTAAATAGTTGTACTGATCTGTTTGCTAATGATTTCAGAATGATTGTGTGTTTTGGGAATTGATTTTGAGTGTTTTTATTGATTGTTTTTCGATTTTCCTCACACACTGCACAGCTGCATTATC